AATTGGTGTTCATAAGATGGTTAACATGGACACCGATGTACACTGTAAAAACCAACCTATAAGGTTTACTCAAAATAAGCAAATGTAGCAATCAGTGGCAGGTATAATAGATTTGGGTCCTGAGGCGAAGACGCAGAGCCCTATGAAATGAAGAGAAAACAAAAATTAGTTGAGGTATACAGATACAGACATCTGAGCAGAACACATATGCTTTATTTGTTTTAACTTTTCTCCTTTTTCCAGTTCTTTTTTCTCATTCCTTCCATGTCTTCCCCTTTTGTACTTACTTCCTGTTCTTCTTCCATCTCGTCTTCCTTTACATATTTTTTTTAACCCCTTTTTTGTCAAAGTCTTTATATTTTCTCCCTTTTATACCTAAAATCTTATTTGTGAATCTTAGTCTTAGCAAATGTTGCTATGAGATTCATATTCACCTACTGAAGAATTCCCAAAGGCTGAAAATTTCTTGGAAATTCAGCATCGTGGGAACTGCTACTCAATATAAAGACGGCATAAGGTTTTAAGAAATTTCAAACACTCTGATACTGAGCTGCAGTGCAATGTCTAAGACCGCACAGCAGTTGTCACTCCTAGTGGAAGTGGGTCTTAAGGGTTGGTTATACTCCCGCAGCATTGTGTAGTAGTGAGCTTGTCGCAGGTATGACGCAGATATTTTTGATTTATGCCCAATATTGAAGCGAAAAGGGGCGGGGATCCAGGTGGAAAAAGGGTCCCAGCGTTCTCGCGCACCTCACTCTTCTAGCTGTTCCATGTTCACAAGTCGTTTTCTGCAATTTCAGTCATACAGACAAAACAAGCCAGTAAGGTACCAAACAGAAAACACATATAGTATAGCGGATGTAGATCTGACCAAACAGAGGTCTCCTGTACAGCAGAGGATCTGTGGAGGGAGCAGGGACGTCTCTACATTCACTGCGACACACACGCAGACGAGCTAAAATCGAAGTATAAATCAGCCTTAAGGTGACATTGGGTGTTTATTATTGAGTGACTCAGAGACCTGAATAAAATATTCCTACTATAGGTGTTGCATTTAGGAATTTTAAAAGAGTGAAACGTATTATTTTTAACATTAAATACTGATTTTTTTTAAAAGCCATTTTGTAGTTCCCATGGTTCCTAAATGCAACAGCTTTCCAATATTTCCTTCAAGCGCTTAAACTGCAAGCCATAATCGCATAACCTATTTAAGACCTGCCCACGCAGTGACACAGACATCAATTTGAAAAAAAAACAAACAAACAATTAAATGAAATATTTAATCTCAAAAGCAGTTTCAAACATTTCTTTTCAATTTTTAAAACTTTCCAAATAATTTTCAGCTTCAAAAACATCCTTTTTGGACAAATTTTATGGCTACAATTTAGCTCCATACTTTCCATCTTTGGAGAAATTTCCCAGCCATCAGAGCATAGATCTGGTTTCACCAGCAAAGCTTCATTTAAGACTCTGAACAGTTTTAAATCAAATATATACTAGGTCTGCTCTTAGGCTCAAATTCCCCTTACCCCTTAAATTTTTAAATAACGGTTTTCATTTATTTCTAAAGATTTACAACCTACAGGAAGCATAAATTTTGGGCTCTTACATTTAATATGGCGCCGACTCTACAGAAAGTCTTTTGTCTAAAATTGGGCAGCGTGCTTAAAGGTAAAGCAGAAAAGAGTCAAAGCAAGAAGAGCAAGTGGCCTGTACCCTTTCTGCTGGAGGAAGAAAATGTGGGCTCAGATGGATAAGAGGTCTGATTAAAGGTTAAGATATTTCTCCATGTGATGACTCAATAATATATGTGGATATAATAGATGTATGCAACGTAACTCAAGGTAACACCTGTAAATAGACTAGTAAAATACTGGCAGCCTCGAGGGATGTGTAGGCGAGAACACTTAGTTTTGATTTGGAGAGATGAAAAAAATAACAGCAAAGGTTTAGAGACAATTAAGAAGAAGGAAAACTTAGGAAGAAAGAAAGGTAAGGGGGACTGAGGAGGTCGCCAAACTTGACTGGTCCAGGAGGAAACAGTAAACTGCTCTGGGTCAGCTGAAGCGAGACTGTGCTGGCAGAATGCTGAGCTGTAGCTGTGGTAATAAGCTCAATACAGTATGAATTAAAAGAAGTAGACAAAAAAAGGAAACAGTCCAACACACAGGGAAAAGTTTGAGGCGTTGCCGTAGCAACAGCAGTAGGAGGCAAACGCCAAGAACAGGAGAAACCAAGCAGAACAAAAAGAGTCGAGTGACTCTTAAATTTAGAAATATACATTTGACAGCAGCGTATTGTCAGGCCAGTGGAACCAGTGATGAGTTGAAACGGCTGCTCTAGGTCGTTGGATGCGTCCCTGAGGTTTTTTTTTCCTTTTTTTATTTTTACCAGATTAACGTTTTCAGAGTGAGTGTTGCACTTCTTTTAGACTGTTCTCCTTTTTTTCCTCCCCTCTCGTTTTTTGGTGCATAAGCTCCATAACGAGAGAGAAAATGTCTATTACTGTGCTCCAAAAGGCAGTGGTCCAGTTAGAAACCAGCGAACACGCAGGCCAAACCTATTTCAATCTCAACTAAAACAAAGGAGGGACAGCTCCTTATTGCATTTGCCACAAGGACTTTTAGGAAAAGCAAAAAAGGAGACCAACCACGAGGAATAACTTGAAATGTTGACAAAGATCTGCTGTTAATCTGCCACTTGGATCTTCCAAACTCCATTGATGCCGTCTTGGTTAATTTACTAAAACCCCAACCCTTTATTTTTTTAACTTTTCCATTGGTCTCCTCCTATTTACCACAGAAGAACATACGGCTCCAGCTGCTTAACCTGTTTAAAAATTATGCACTATAGAACATCTGACATTCAGCTTTTAGAGGGAGGTTGCCAAACTTCTTCTCACCACATCTTCAGTAAAAGCATCATCTGAGGGCGGCCTTCCACAATCAGCCTCTTGGCAAAGCTTGAGTCTAACAAGAGGTCCTCTGTGGACTTGAGTGCCTATTCTTCTTGAAATTAGTTTTCCATTCCTTACTTCATCTCACTCCGCCGTTCCCGCCCTCTTCTTTTTTTTCTCTTTTCTTTTGTGCTTTGTTAGGAGGTTGCTTCCTGCGGTGAGCGTGGCACTGCCCGGGCACATGTTCTGTGGTAGGCCTGATTACAGCCCTGCTGTAGTGCTGACATTGGCCTGCACCAGCTCCTCATCTTTAAACACACACATACGCAGTCTTTCAGTGGGCCCTAAGTTCCACCAACTCTGCCAGCAGCTACCGCGGCATGACTTCACCCGGCAACCATTCTTTGCGTCAAACAAAATGCCTCTGTCACCAGAAAAAGAACGGTAGCTCAGAGGGAGGAGGAGGAGGAGAAAGGGCGAAAAAGAAAGAGAGGGGTGGGGAAGGAGAGAAGAGCGTGGATGTGCGGTGGCTGTGTGAAGGATTTGATGTTTTCGGGCCACACTTGGGGATAATTTTAGCCAAGAGGCCCCCAGATGACAAGCTGCTCTGAGAAGGTCTCTCCAAAGTGGAGTGGCAGGCAGATTGGCAGAATTAGAGCAAGCACAGAATTATGGGAAGATGGAGAAGCAAAAAAACAAAAACAAAACAAATGTACAGTCTGTGTGCATGGCGGCCAAATGAGTTTCCTTTTAGTATAGAAATACAGAAAAGTGGGTAACACACACTTTAGAAAAGGGAAAACCTTTTTAGCTTTTTTGATTTTCTAAATAAGAAAACAAAAACTGTTAGCTCTATTACAACAGTATATTTAAAGATGAAGACTTAGAATCAGAAAACGAAGGCAAAGTTAGATTTTTAATTTTGGATTCACTGTCCATGACTTACACCTTACATGCTGATCTCACTGTAGCTCCATAAGGACTGTTTTCCAGCAAACCCATGCAATGTCATCGTTTCTGCAATGAAGTTTATTTCATGCAACAGTTTAATGCAAAACGTCTCTTTGTGTTTTACGTACTGCTTCCTATATAGGCGGGTAATGTGTAGGGAAAACTAGTTGTTTCTCATTTTCCGTTACTCTGTTCTTCTTTAGGATATTTGGTAACATCTTGTTTCCAAGTACGTTAATTTCTCTATCAACAGGAAAACCTGATGGCTGTCATGTACACGATGCTTTTATGTTTGCTTATGACATTAAACATGGGGATGTTTTCTGAACTGAAACCAATAATATGGAACATTGTTGGTATTTGTGTTCCAGTCCCAGTTAACCTTGTTTATTGAATGATTGAGATGCCATTTTGGAACCATGGCAATCCTATATCACTGTTCTGAGAGATCAGACTGGGTGCTGGCCTTGTTGGAATGACAGCTACCTTAGACGAATTGTGAAAAATGTCGGCTGTGGAAAGACACGCAATCCAACAATTTTGTAGGAGCATTGTTATGACCAGCATGACCAAAGGCAGTCGTACTGGATTACTAGATTCAATTAGCTGGTAGCCTAAATAATGTTGGGAAAGCATCCTAGGGCTCTTGTTTCATAGGATTTTTTTATATACTCCTAAATGCATTTGATCACCTTTAAATTCTTTATCAAAGATGTATTTTAAAAAATTAAAATTTTTTTCCTTTGTACCAGATGTTGTGATCATTGCATCTCTACACCTTTTTGTCAAACTGCAAGTAAACCCTGCAAGAATGTCAGTGGGCTGCAGCTCAGAAAACAATGTGTTCACTCAGTCAGCAGGTCTGGGAGAACATAGATCCAATATCTGTACTGGAAAATCTCTTGCTCCTGCAGGCTGTGTGCGTGAAACTGAGCAGATCTGTGGCTATCAGATAACCTGTATCCACCACAGCTTCTTGTTAAATCATCATATCTCAGCTGAACGACATTATCTTTTTACATTGCTAATTTCAGGCATGAAATATAAAAACTTGAAGAAAACAGGCTTTTATAACATTACATTTTTCATATTTCTAAAATGTTGAGTTTTTGCTTGTATCAAAAGCCTCTAAGCAGGTTTCATGTCATTGCAGGAGAGGCTGCATTATGAGACTCTGAGCCAGCACCTGGGGAAGCTGGGAGAGGATGCAGGGAAGATGGTCCATCGAGTCATTGACCTGACTAGACCAGAGGATCTGGATGGTGGGTGCTTTTTTTTCTTTTTTTTTTTTTACCTCCATTCCACTCTTTACTTTCTTTGCCCACCCTAGGGTCTTTTACAACCGTTGATCAGTTTCTCTTGTTTTCAGATGAGCTTTTATTCACCCTTGTTACTCAAAAATACATACAGATCTATTAAAAATCCAATTTAACCAAATATAAAAGGAAAACAGTCGTTTTTATTGATAATTTCTTTGTAATTCAGTTGGCGTCAACTTTGCTGAAACTATGCTCCCTGCAGTTTAAATTGAAAGCCAATATTTTTTTTTAAAACACTAGATTATATTATCTTCTTAAGTCTCCCATTTATTTTCAGGATTAAAGCCAAAGTCAGACAGAGCTGCAGTCCATTTTAATTTGTCTAAAAAATGATCAGAAATGACATTTTAAGTACACGGTATCTCATACGGTTTGTCCTAAACGTTCCACAGAACATAAAATATTCTCACTAAACGTCGCCTTAGAACACTCCAACCTCAGCCCACCTGTTTCTCATAAAGCACCACTGTTTACAAGAGATGAGAAGCTGAGGAGTGCTCATCGTGATTTAGTTTAGAGGCAGAGGATAAACACAGGAGCCTGGGGACTGAGATAGTATCAGTAGGGAGCAAACTGACTACAGTGCGCGATATTTGTGTCAAGATCTGCAAGGCATTTGAGAAAGACCTCACTAGAATGGTGTTGTTGGCTTTTGTTTTCACAGCAAACTAAAAAAGAAAAAAAAAAACAATTCAGGGTTAAATTCTTTGTTTTATATTGTTTTTTATGATGAAAAGATGGGAAAGCATATGTGCTTATTTTGTCACCCCTTAGGGAATACTATCACAGAGGCGCGAGTGTTCAGAGAGGCACGCGGCAGGAACAGCAGCGAGCCCCACATCAAGAGGCCCATGAACGCCTTCATGGTTTGGGCCAAAGACGAGAGGAGGAAGATTCTGCAGACCTTCCCTGACATGCACAACTCCAACATCAGCAAGATCCTGGGTGAGATTCTCCTCCCCTCCCTTTTCTCAAACAATAATTCCTTGACTCATTTTCCTTTCAAACAGGACTATTAACTCCTTTAAAGAACCAGTTAAAACTAGATATGCATGGAGAAACCATCTATTGAGTGAAATATGGCGTTTTTTTTGCTATGTCTTGATCTGGTTGGACAATTTGGAAATCCAAGAGGCTACAGGGTTGTGCTTTTCACAACAGCCTTCAGTATGGATGTTAAGTTCCCAAAGTGGGGTGTCAGAACCCACTTAGGAGATCACTAGACACCAAGTGGAGCGTCGCAAGATAGTTCTCACAAGCACTGGGATGATTCCTGAGGTATAATGTATGGAAATAAATGGGAATGGCCCATGAGATAAGTAAGTGTAACATTTATTTATTTACATCTAATATATGATTCAAATATATAATTTACTCATAAAATTCACAAATAGATCATTAAACATGAATATAATTACCTAATTATATTGGTATTTTGTGGATCACAGGCTGAAATATTTTGGAAGCCCTGCTGTAACTGAGGGAAGATTAATTTTCAAAAGTATAGCAAATGAGAGGGAGAGTTTATCTGAACGGTACAGACATGTTTGTGATTCATTTACACTGAAAATGAGAGTAGGACTTTCAGGCGATCTGCTTAATGTTTTTGTAATGCTAGCGTTTGTAAATGCGCTAATTGCTAATATATTTTTTTATTTAATCATGCAGTTTATTTATCATCATGCTGGAAATACAACACAATACATGCTGTGTAAGTACACCAGCTATTTCCAAGTTGATGAGTGAAAGGGTCAAAGATTTTAAAAGGGGGCCTAAATTTTTCTCGAGTACTGGATATTGGCCAGATGTACTTATGAAATGGACAACATACGGGTTAATAGTAGATACACCATAGAATATCTCAGTGTAATGATTACACTGTATTTACTATAGAGAGCAATATCCAGTAATTAATCAATACATAAAACATGGGCGGCGCTAGACGAGGGGCCAACAGGGCCCGATGCCCCTGTAGAACTGGTCACAGCCCCTGCACTGAAAACTTAAACTGTAAAATTTTAATTTTAAGTCATTTATTTCTTTAAATATGTGTAAATAGCCTTGATTTAAGCAGATATGTAAAAAAAATTGTAGCTGGAATAAAAAAGAAAAATAACAATTTTATAGTATCACTATATCAAGTGGATATTTTCAAATTATTTTGTTTTAAGGGCCAAACTCCTCCTTCCTTTGGTAGATCATCTTATTTATGTGCTCAAATAGAAAAATAGAAAAAAATTTAAGAAACTTTTACCTATTTTAGGTCAGATTTTGCAGTGTAATATTAAAGGTATAGTGGAGGATTTTCGCCCGCCCTATCCACTTTAAAAAAACAATGCACAACCCTGTACCTGCTCCCAAAAGGGAACGCCTATTAAACACATGCAAGAGCGTGCACAAGCCCATTTCTCCTCGTGCACGCTGTGTTTTAAAGTTGATGTTTGCATCGCTCACACAAGCTTACTTTCCAAAAGAAGATTTGCAATTTTTCCACTGTAAGACTCACCACTGGTAAGTGAAAATGGCGACCAGCACGTAGGACATCCTTATGTAAACATATCACCAGAATGACTGACAATTTAAAGGGACCACTTATTTAGATGATCCACCCTGAAAAAGAACATCCTCAACTATACCTTTAAATAAGTTTCATATTACTGTATGATATGTTTTCACAGAAAAGACCACTCACCTATTTGTTACTTAAAATAAATTAATATCTTGTTAAAGATTGGCTCTGTGTACTCACTGACTCACTCAATAAACTAAAAAATGCGCCCTTGCTTGATTTGTTTGTGTTGTTCTTTGCCCCTATTAAAAACTGAGATTAAACACACATTGCTGTGAGCTTAGTCTTTAGCTCGCACAGCAAGATGGAGAGGGAATATGACATTTTTCCGTTTTCATCAAGCTCTTTTTCTCTGGACCTAATGCAAAAACTTGCATTTTAATCACTTTTTCCCTTTAATAATTCGATTTTTATTCTTAGTGCTATAGATGTACCCAGGAGTACTGGTTGGAATGAGGCCAAATAGTTTATGGTGTAGTTTGTGAACAGTCAGGTACATTACAGAGGCATTGTGAGAATAGTTATGCTCGCTAAGCCTCAGGAGACTGAAAAAGTGGAAAATCGTTTAGTTAGACCACGTTAAGGAGTGTATGAATTCTTTTTGGATTATCACAAGCTTTAAGAGATGGGTTGGGAATGTCATACACCATATGATATTACATTATGGCAAAGAAGGTTAAATGAGAATGAAAAGTTCAGAAAGTAGAAGATATGTCTTGACTTAAACAACAATGCAGCATATTTAGATAGTTTAGTTCTACGATGATCGATATGTCTTTTTAAAGTTAAGGAACTCCTCAAAATGCATCCCCAAAAAATTAGTAGAACTGCCTCTTTCAGTATTTTATCCAGTGCTAAATCCAAGTATTATTAAATTCTTTCTGTCTGTGGTATAATAGCTTCCCAAAACTGGTGGTAGCATGTCAAAGCTTTAGAAAAATCTGGAATTGGAACATCAGCCACATAATCCAAAAATGGCAGTTTGCTAAAATCATCCCCCCACACTGTATTTCACAGTTCACAGGGTTTCCTACCAACAAACTGCAGATTATGCGAGGGGCTAAAGTGCTCTTCAACCAGTACACAGAGCTCCTCTGTCACCTTGACTTGTGTGATGGATGCATTCAGTTCAAATCCTTGTGGATTCTGACCTCCTCCACACAGATATCCATTCACCCTGCGCTGAGCGTAACGCTTGTTCATGCTTCATTCCTAAGGCCTCCGATGTTCTACACAGAGTCAGAGCCAGCGGAACGTAAATGCTGCTCCTGAGCCGTCAACAAAATGCTCTTTCCTGACAGGTTCTATGGTGTTGACTCAGTTTTGACTAACAGACATCATCCTTTACGTGACGAAAGCTCTGTGAATAAGCCTTCTGGGTCGTTATTATTCTTGTGTAATGAGACTCAGAGGGGAAAAAAAAGAAGGAATTGTGTACGTGTATATGACCATACATATACAGTCCATGTCCTCCCAACATTAAAAAAAACACAGCTGGCTTTTTGGGGAGAAGGTGGGTGGCAAGCTTGAAACAAACTCCCCTCTGTTTCCTGTGTCACAAAAGTACAAGAAAAGTTTGTGATAAACCTCGATAAACAGACAAGCGAGGCTGAGTGTGTGTAATCAAAGCGCTTCACAGATGTGCTGTGTTCCCGCAGTAAGGGCCTCGTCCACTTGTTACTGAGGTCCTCTTTACTAGGAAACAGTAGAGGCACAAAATGTATCATTCTTCTTGGGCTAAGGGCGAGCAGACAGGAATCCACTTCTGGTTTTAAACAGCCTCTAATGCCTAACAGTGGGTCATCACATTCCAAAAAAACACACCAGGACATGCCTTCAGTTAGCTGTCCTTTACCTTAAACTTTATAAAGTGTTTTTCTACAGATATCTTATGTGTAGAGTTAACTTTGTAATGGGGAAAAGAATAATAATAAAAAAACTCCACCATGTGTTTCAGGTTCTCGCTGGAAAGCCATGACCAACCAGGAGAAGCAGCCGTACTATGAGGAGCAGGCCCGCCTAAGCAAAATCCACTTGGAGAAATATCCCAACTACAAGTACAAGCCACGGCCCAAGAGGACCTGCATCATCGACGGCAAGAAGCTGCGCATCGGGGAGTACAAGCAGCTGATGCGCTCGCGGCGTCAGGAGATGAGGCAGTTTTTCGTGGGGTGAGCAGAGCTTTTCATTCTGAAACTTGAGGTGACTGAGGATTGGTTGGTGAACAAATCATTTCATTCCCTACTTGAAAATAGAATAGAAATAAAAATGCTATTTAATTCGCTGCTCTTGCTCTGTTGATTGAGATTGAGAATGTGATAACAGTGGGTAGAATTATAAAACTTAACATAATTTAATCTTTTTAAAAGACCATCATTTATCCATACTGCTGCAACATAATAACACCCTAATATTATTAGCTGTTTAGATTATGTTATCTATAATATCTAAGTTCTTAGCTCTGTGACAAAAATATGGAGAAAACTATTGTCTTGCAGGGTAATATACATTAATAACACAAATCCAACAAGTTAAATTAGCTCCTTAAAAGGAAAGTTTAGAGATTTCAAGTGAGGGTTTTGTAAAAGACTATCAGTTTTATCTTCCATACAGTAGATAACGCTATCTACTTTCCTACCAGAAGTGGAAATCTAAACCATTAAAAAAAAAACAAGTGTCACATTGACTATGATGACATTTTTGAGAGATATTAATCAGTGGCGGCTGGTGAAAAATATTTTTGGTGGGGCTGATATAGCCTAGTGTATGTCTCCAACTAATC